AGCCTGGCATTCCAAAGAATTCTCCATAAATCCCGAACCATCCAGGCCAGTAGCTTTTGATTTTGCTTTTTCTTCTGACTTTTTTGGTGGGGAGTCAACTGGAGGTCATAGTAAACAGGAAAAGTAGGCATTTATTACAGGGCAATGAGGATTTAAGACTAGAGATTACTTTTCAGGGGGCAAAATAAAGGACATACAGAAGAAATAAGGACAATTTCAGAATAATCTCTTACTGATTAGTAAGATTACTTTTCAGAAGCAACCAGAATTTGCTCCCATGTCATCTAGAGTCTTTGGAATGATTTCAGTGCTACCCGAAAAGTTTTTACCTCTGCCTTGCCAGAAAGACATGGCTCTCACCTGAGGCTATTTATTGGGAATTCTCACAGGTTTCTTTTAGGGTTTGTCTGAGGATAAGACAGGGAAAAAGATACCAAGGGTGGCTTAGCTTGTAATTACCTAATGGGGAGGAGGTCTGGATTCTGAAAACACCAATAACATGGGACAGCTCCATAGAAATGAAGGTTTTACTGGCAATACTGAGGTGTTCTGAAATACCAAAGACATGACCTTGACTGATCTAAAAGCAAGTGAATGATGACCCAGAGGTAGGGAAGAAAGTCAAGATGAGAAAGACTGCTTTAGAACTGCATAGCAGAACACAATCCAGTCAGAAAGACTCTATGTTCAATCAATTTTATTTCATAAAATGATCTGAGAGTCCAGGCGACTACACTGTATTTAAGCTGTTCCTAAAAGCTACACTATTGCTCTTAGGTATATGTAACTATAGGAAGTAGAGAAAGAAGAAAGCTAATATTCATTGTAATGATACTTTACATATATTACCTCACGTATTCCTAGAGCAGTTCCATAATTAGATTATCACGATTTTATAGAAACAAATAATAACTTGTCCAAGGTGACAAAGCTGTTAAGGCAAAGAAAAGATATAAATCCAGGCTAGTCTAACCGGATATCAGTGTTTTCCTACTACATCATCTTGCCTTCTATGAAGAATACAGGGAAACCAACATCCTCTATGTGGAAGGGAAAATGTCTGCCAGTGAGCTACACAGAGTCCTTTCAAAAATAGAATGGCCCACAGAGTCCCTGAAAAAGGACACTGAGTAGTTGGCAGTGCTGGAAATCCTAAGTAAAAACATAAAGATCTCTTTACATCGAAGTTTATAAGCAGGGTTAATTCCTAATAAAAGTAGAGTTGATAAAAGAAGGCAGAATAATATCTTGATTGATTATATATAGAGAGGAGGAGTTTGGTGAGTNAAAAGGCAAGCCATGTGATGGGAGAAAATATTTATAAAACACATAAGGGGTTAATATCTAGAATATACAAATAATTACAACTCAAAACAAAAAACAAACCTGGTTAAAAAATGTGCAAAGGATTTGAATATGAAATACCAGTGCACTCCCGTCAGGAGGGCTATTGTTAAAAAAAATAAAATAACAAGTGTTGTCAGGGATGTGGAGAAACTGAAACTCTTACATTGCTAGTGGGAACATAAAATGGTGCTGCCTTTGTGGAAAACTGGATGGCAATTCCTTAAAAAATTAGGTATAAAATTACCATATGATCCAGGGTTCCCCATTTCTGGGTATATCCTAAAGGGCTGAAATCAAGAACTTCAACAGTTATTGTACACCCATATTCATAGCAGCATTATTCTCAATAGCCAAAGATGGAAACAAACTGTCTATTGGGAGATGAATAGATAAACAAAGTGTGATTTACACATACAATGAAATATTATTCAGCCTTAAAAAGGAATGAAATTCTGACTCATGCTACAACATGGATTAACCTCTAAGTTAAGTGAACCTTAAGGCTAAGTGAAAGAAGCAGGTCACGAAAAGACAAATATTGTATGATTCCACATATATACCTAGAGTAGTCCCATTCATGAGAGAGAAAGCAGAATGATGGCTGCCAGGGGCTGGAGGAGGAAGAATGGGGACTTAGTGTTTAATGGGTACAGAGTTTCAGTTGGGGAAAATGAAAAAGTTATGGAGATAAATGGTGGTGATAGTTGCACAATAATGTGAATGCAATAATTGGCACAGAACTGTACACTTAAGAGTGGATAAAATGGTAAATTTGATGTTATGTATATTTTATTACAATAAGAAAAAGTAATGGAGGCTCCTAGGCAAATTATCAGAATGACAAAAAATTACCATTGAATTTGATTTTATCAATGCTTAATCCTCACTTCATTAAAATACCTCTGAATGTTTTCTATTTTATTAATGTCGTCACAAGACAATACATATATTACCTCCTGAATTTCTTTTTCTAATAGCTCCACTCTTTCACGAAGGTGTCTCCTCTCCGTGTCAATAGAAAGAAGTTCCAGCCGAACTGAGCTGCTTTCTCCCTCAGCTTGATGGGCTTTGACCTCCCAGTCTCCAGCGCGGTTATGAAGCATCTGAAATCTATCTAACAAATCTTGGTTTTCTTTTTCCTGGTTTAAGCATAATTAAATTGTTTCTAAATTAGTAACTTTCCTTTACTGGGATACTCACCTCATAAATATATACATACATTGAGATTTTTGTTTTAATTTAGGAAGCATAAACTATCAGTGCAGATACCATACTAAGTAAGATCTGTGGGGCTAGACTGAAAGACAGTAGGTAAGATCTCCACTCTCATAATATCTAATAGAGAAGAGAGAGTAAGTATAAAAAAGTAAAAAAAAAAAAAAAGAAAGAAAAATCAGTCTTAAATCCAACCTAAACAATGTTTTGTCACCTTAGCAGCCATCAGGCTCTCCCATCGTGACACCTCAGTTATATAATTATGAACTCTACTCTTCATTTCTTCTTTTTCTTGCACTGCTGCTTCCAATTCCAAAGAGATTTCCTATATCAGAAAATTGAAGACAAACTGAAAATGAACATAGTACCTAAGGACTTCTATTTATATTCACATAACTGGTTTTGAATTTGAGGAGTAACAGAATAGGAAAATTAAAAAATAACCCAATTGTTCGTAAAGTGTTGCTTTCACATATTTTTCCTGATCCTAACTTTTTAACCTAATATTACCACACATTTTCCACAATAGTCCTAAACATGTATCTGGCATTTATATTCAGGGCTCAAGGGTTGACATTTTTAAAAATTCATATCAGCAATATGCTTTATACTGAATAATGTTGAAAGTAATTTAGAACACCAAAATATTTAAAATAGTAAAATTATTAGTCTTCTTGGTATAATCATTTAATCAGTATTTGCCATTCTAAAATATTCATTAACTTACTTATAGGTATATCTCTAAGCCACTTAAAGTATGAAAAATTAAAATCTATCATGGGTCTTTATAATACAGCAACTTTGCCCTGGAAGTGATGCTGAGGCCCTCACATAGTAGGGTGACAGCAATTTCTGCCATAGGAAATACCACGCTACCAGCTATAGGATTTCTTACAACAAAGACCAAAATGGTGAGGAGACCACAGTTGTACCCATTAGACACCTGGTAATACACAGCAGCATTCTAAACCACTTTTTTGAATACCCTTATAAATACCATTCTCCTTAAAGAATTATTTTTGTTGATACTTATATTAAAATTTAGAAAACACATTTAGAGCTTTAGCAAACAATGAATATACTGTAAAACTGTGTACTGTAAAACTATTAAAGTTTATGCACTGTGCTCATACCTGGTTTTCTCTTGCCACTGTAGCCAGATCATCTTGTAATCTTCTATTTTCCTTAAAAGATATTTCTTTAGACCTCCCTACTTCATCAAGTTCTTTGTGAACTGCATCAAGCTGGCGTCGGAGGCTGCCTATCTCACGGTCCCGATTAGTTAGTGTTTCCTTTAGCTGACTGTTACATGAATGGTGTGGAAATAAGAAAAAAAAAGCTTTGTGGAAAATTTAGTTCACTTGAAAGAAAACTGTTGTACTCTGAATTAAGTACACTAAGAATACAGGAATTATAAATACTGCATTAAGACACTGATTAATTACATAAAGCCGATATTTACATGCTCTACCAATCATTATAAGCAAATGAAGTCATAAAATAAATTTATTATTCCAAAAATCAGGTAGAAACAGAAGACTTTCAAGTGTTAGGAGATTCATTTGGTAAATAATAGAATAATAACAGGTTCGACTGGCAAATATTTATTTAATGTTTAAGTCCCCATTATTACATAATATGTAAGGGTATACAAAATAAAGATAATTAGTGACTTGTGTCTTGAAATAGAGACTAGAAATAAAATGTAAAACTTTTTAACAGTATTCAAGATAGGTTTAGATATAGAATAAATTCAAAACTGAAGTAATCTAAGTTTTAATAATTAGAGCCTGCATAGGGTAATTACAGTAAAAATAAAGAGCAAGAAGGCTTGTAAAAGAATAATTAGTAAGATATAACTGTTTAGATGCGGATGATAGAAGACGGAAGAAAGTTAAAGAGAATAACATTTTCAATAAAAGGGACTAAGAAAATGATGCTGCTATTGGCAAAAATAGAAAAACTGAAAAAGGAAATTTTCCTATTGTCAGTTGCTACTTAAAGCCGCATTCACTGAAAATTTCTAAAAAAGCTGGATGCCATTTCATTAATTACTTACTTCAGAGAAGATTCATACTCTGAGACTGTTGTCTTCATCTGAGCAATAGCTTTTTCCTAGAAATTATAATACGTAAGATTTGAAACAATTCATGTAGAAATGTCTTCAATTTATATAATTTATCACATTTATAAATCAATAGTTCAAATCCAATTATATAACTTATGCTATAAACAAAAGCTATAAGTAAACATATTTCCATGTCCCACTGTACTTCACATACTGGCATGTTTCTACCCCCCACTCTAAGAACATGAATTGTTTCCTTGAGTTTGCTGCAATCACATCTGATAAAATTACATTCTATAAATAGAACTTTTAAAGATTCAGGTTATTGAGATAAAATGAAATTTAAATATATAAGAAGATATGACCTGGGTCTTAGAAACTTGCACCTGGGTGATAAAAACTGCATATTTGAAACAGAAATAAAAGTCTTTTCTGTTCAGATGCTGGATAACGATATTTAACAGTCACATACTTTATTAGCTAGGTTTTCTTGCAAGTTTGCAATCAGTTCTGTTTTCTCATCTACAGTCTCCTGAAGAAAGTCTTTTTCTTTATCAATAACACCAATGGTCTTTTTCATTACATGAGCCTCTTCATCCTGTGAAGTCATCTTAAGGTGTAGTTTACCTATAAACGAAAAGAAATGTTTGTCAGCCAAAGTAAATGAGGATTAGTAAAAACAAAATTTTGAAAACACCTACCTATTTGTTCCTCCAGTATTTTAGTTTGTGCTTGGGCTGATTCAAGTTCATTTCTTTTCATAGAAAGTCGATGCTGATAATCATCAAGTGACCGCTGTAGCTGCTCATTTACTATCCTAAAGAATCAGTGCACAAAAACAAATGGTATTCTTTATCTCTAGTAGAAATAATTTTTTTTAAATGAGATATCTTAAAATATATATTTCTTATTTTTAAAGTTTCTTTAGTTTCTTATTTTAAAGCTCTTCCATTATAATCAATGGCATTATATTATATATTATTTGTTGCCATCCACCATTCTTCAAAATGGTTCCATCTTCCTAAAAAGTATAAAGATCAAATTGTAACTTTTTCCTAGAGGCTTCCTGGTATTTTTAAAGCTCTTCTCAGTTTCCTAAATCAACCCTCTGTCTCTTAAAAATCTATTTCCAATAGTGGAGGCAAAAAGAAAGTCCTGTTTGTATAGTATAGCCTGGCATTCCAAAGAATTCTCCATAAATCCCGAACCATCCAGGCCAGTAGCTTTTGATTTTGCTTTTTCTTCTGACTTTTTTGGTGGGGAGT